TCCCTGGAATGGAGATAAGAAACACCCTAACCTTTGGAATAGAAACTGACAGTAAAAAAATCAACTGGTATAAATACAGATGTAACAAGACAATAAAAGACAGACAGAACTTGGCTAGAGATCCTGGCTAGGCTGCTGATCAACTGAACACAGTCTCCATGTCATTCCTTCTTTGCTGACTTCATCCACACCTTTGGGGACCCCTGGACCTACTGGGGTTGGACCCCAGCACCATTTTTCCTTAAGATGGGTTTCTAGATGTGCAATTGTTTGCTCAAAAGATGCAGTGTGTCATAGTTCTTACCACAGTGTCATCTCTTTGGCCCTTTCATGTCTTAGATCATGAAGTTAAGATTTACAGTGTCTTCATCAGCATGAACCTATTAACTAATGACTAGTCACTAGCAATATTTGACCTTTCCCCCATGGCTGCAGAAGTCATAAAACTCAGCAGGTACTAAGAACCTAGTAGACAAATCAGTCAATCAGAGACACAAACTCACAAGTAGAACCAGCAAGTGAGACGATGTTGCTGCATTTGTCATCCTTGTCAGCCTGAAAAGCATTTCAAGGAACTCAGAACAAAATAATTTAGACCTTGCTCTCGGCTTCAAACCCAGTTCAGTGACAGGTTACTGACACCTGCGTGAATGTTGCACTGGTCTTGACCACCCGCTGTTTCCACCCCTTGCATCTCAGGCCAAATCATACATTCATTAAATGAATTTGAGATTAGGACTCCATCCTCTCTGGAAAGACAAGACACTTTTGAAGTCAGGTTCACACTATGACAGAAACTGCTTATTATTTCAATATCCTTCCCTTTTATAATAATAGGTTTGCTCCAGGCACAGGGACACAGCTAGAGCCTATTTTTTCCAGCCTTCCTTGCAGCTAGCTATGGACACATGACTGGACACTAGTTAATAAGATTGAGGTGGTTTATACAAGTTTAGGGTAATTCCTTGAAGGTATGTCTTGTTTTCCTTTTCCCTCCTAGTTTGGTAGAGTTGTATTTTGAACTTATTGAGAAGCCCGATATGGCATGCTAGCTCCATAATGGCCCTTGAGCCTGATACTGTTAAGCCACACCTAGTCTTGTGATTGAGATCCGCCCACCCACCCCCATCCCAGTCTCAGGATTGTCCCATGAACATGGTTCACATTCCCTCCACCTTCCTAACCACATCTTGTAGTTGAAACCTGGAGATCTACCTATCAGCTATTAAGATAAGTATAGCATTAGATATGACCATGAAGGGATGGAAAAGTAACCCTTGAATAAAGTAAATGATTCAAGTTGACAAGCAGAAGAGGAAGGGAGAGAAACTTGATCGAGCCACTGTCTCAATTCTGCTCTTCAGGGAAATTGGGAAAAGCTTATGTGCCAGCTGTTTACTTGGGGACATGAGCCCAGGCAAGACTGAAGGACAGGGACAGCGGGAGGTACGTAGAAGGCTGCACTGTTTACAGCCACTGGTTGCTCCTCTAGCAGAGGTACACAAGAAGCCTTACGAAATCCATCTCAGGACCCAGGGAAGATAAAGGGATGCCTTTATCCATTGGCTCACAGCTCCTAGTCTGTCAAGTTTGCCCCATATGCTAACTACCTCATATTAACAGGTTGTTTGGCATAAATGCCTAGTGAGTTCCCAAGAGCATCCAGTACCTCCAACTTAGATAGAAGCCCTCAGGAGGAAATTGGGAGGTAGCTGGTATGAGACCGAGTTGAGGAGTTGTCAGGTTACACCAGCAGCCACATTTGGAATAAAGAGATGAGGCAGAGGGGACCTGACCCAGCACACAGGACGAGTCAGTGCACCAGCCAGCATTAAGGAAGAGATTACAACCTTATTGATATTTCCTCTGCTGTATTTATATCCCCGTGACTATTACTTTTTTGAAGAATAGTTTGATTTTGAGAGAGGGGAAGGGGAATTTGAGAGTGTAACATCAATTGGCTGCCTCATACACGTCCCCTAGAGGGGATCAAGCCCACAATCTGGGCATGTGCCCTGATCTGGAATCAAAGAAGCAACCTTTCACTGCATGGGATGATGCTCCAACCAATTGAGCCACACTGGCCAGGACCCTATGACTATTTTTTAACTACCAAGTTGTATTTCTCAATCCCTTCACATTTTCCTGGAAATATCAGGGGGAACACTTTGTACATAAGGTATATGACTGGCTCACCACTATGCTATACACCTGAAACTAATACAAAATACTGAATATAAACTGTAATTGGAAATTTAAAAAATACAAAGGAGACTTACTCGGCCAGGCATGGAGAAGGAGTGCGCTTGCCTCTGCAGCCAAGGCCCTTCAAGAGGATGCTGGTGTCGCCAGCAGTGCCTGGGACCAGCTGAGATGGTGGCGGCCGACAGCAAGCCGGCCCCGGCCCCTGAAGAGCAGCATGTGGAGGCAGACAGGGCGGCTGGGTCCTCTGTGGGGAGTGGAGGGATCAGGAGACCCATGCGAAGTTGCTCCACCCATGCAGACACATTCTGGGATTGTGGCAGCCAGATAACAATTTATACAAAGGGATAGAAGGACTCTGAGTATGGGCTTAGAGTATTGGGGAGTGTGAGGTAATGACTCCTGTGTGAAGCTATAAGACTCACTCACCCAGTGTCGGTAATGACTGGAGACATGTAATACTTTAAACAATTTTTTAAAAAGACATTCTTATATCACATAATGTTGACACAGCCCTTGACCAAGGCAATTGTTGATCCACCTTTACAGCAGAATTAGATGCTGTACAGCAACCAAGACTTTGGGAATAAGGCTTTAGAAGCACCCTTAGGTTCATTTTTCTAGATGAAATGAACACAGCTTGAATACAATGCCCACTGCTTCTCCATTCCATCCCACAATCTTGAGCATAACACTAGCTATGAAAGGACAGAAGTTCTCACAAGGCAATTCTGTTTGCCCCAAGTAAAATACCTAAAGATGGGCTACGAATTAGGGAAAAAAGATTTTAAGGGCTGACTGAATACCGTTGCAACCGAGTTCTAAACTTTTTCTTAATGGCTCAACCTCTATATTCCTTATTAAAGTCATAGCTGATCCAATGCAATGGAATCTCAAAGGGAAACAGCACACAAACCTCTGGCCCTATGGAGGACTGCTATATGTAGTGGTGAACGGCTTAGGCATTATTGGTCAGACGTACCTGCCTCTCCATGACCCCCAGGTGGATAACTCAATGCAGTTCAAGCCCGCATTTAGAATTCGCCTGACAGAGAGGAAACCGGCCACAGTGGAGTGCACGTACGGCCGCCAAGGGCCCCACAGCTTCCACATGCAGATTTGGAAGGACGGGTTCTCCACCAAGTGCAACCTGACGCACCACCACAGGATACCTGGTTGGAGCCGAGAGGATTTACACGCATGGCTGCGGGAAGAATGGGGGCAGACGCTGGAGCACATTTTCCAGGAGGACAGGCTGCGGTTTATCCTGATGAAGCTCATCTACCATCAGAATGACAACTGCCGGAACTACCACTGCATCTACCTCTCCCGGAGCCACTGGAGGACCTCATCAGGCCAGGCCTCTTCAAAGGCACCCAAAATGCCTACAGCCTAGAGGTTGTCATGCTCAGCTTCCATGGGAAGCATGGCAGGGTCACGAAGATCACGGTGACCACCACGTCCCTGCTGGGCAGCAGATGATAGAGATCCACCTCAGGCACCGCATCCAGCTGGCCGATGAGATCTTCAGCAACTTCAACAAGTACTCCCGCCTGGTCCAGGAGGTTCACGAGCAGGTGATCCAGGAGCAGCAGCAGCAGCAAGAAGACAGCACTGAGGACGGCGAGGGCCATGGCTGGCTGAGCCCTGCGCAGCCCAGTGTCGGGGAGTCCGGGGCTGCAGCTTTGGAGGAGCAGCCTGTCCAGTTTGTCCTGCCTGCGGGCGTGAGCTCCAGTAACCAGAACTACCCGCGAGCCTGCAGGATGTGTTTCTATGGTGTGGGCATCGTTGCCCGCTCTGGCTCCACCTACCCCCAGCGCATCCCTGGAGTCTTCATCCTGTTTGATGCAGACCACTTCGGCTTCATCTGGCTGGAACCGAATTGCCTCAGCCTGTACAGCAGAGTCCAAGTCACCTTCCAGAATGCGGAGGCACCAGCCCCACAGGCTTTCCAGGAGATTCTCAAGAACATTCAGTCCCCACCCCCTGACGGCCCCTCCCTTGCCCAGGGGCAACAGCGGGGAGAAGAGGCTTCAGGGGAAGAGCAGCTTGCATGCATTTTAAAGATTGGACCTTCGGACCAGATGACCCACCTTGTTATTTGTTTGTTTGTTTTTAATCCTCACCCGAGTAGATTTTCCTATTGATTTTTGGAGAGTGGAAGAGAGAGGGAAAGGCAGAGAAATATCCATGTGAGAGAAACAGATTGGTTGCCTCTTGCATGTGCCCTGTAATACTTTAAACAATTTTAAAAAAAGACATTCTTATGTCACATAATGTTGACACAGCCCTTGAATGTGAGCCTCAGAGTACCCCTTTGCCAGAAGGGAGGCCCCTGGAATTAAGTCGAGTGGCATTGTCTTTATCCTCTTCTTCAGGATTTTCATCTTTACTTCTGCCCATACAAGGCCTGAAACCCTTCATTTTAAACCTCAGAGCCAACATTGGTTTTGCCCTTAGATGCCAGCCTTGCTTTGGACTGCCTTACTCTACCCACTGCCTCGTCCACGGGCCCAAGCATCTGCCCAGTTTTGATGATTATGTCTCTGCTTCCCAACATTGCTGTTACAGTCTGAGAAAGCTTGGGGTCCTTTTGAGTTCTAATTCACTTTGACATCATCAGACTTCCTAAAAATAGGGTGCTTAGCCGTGGAGGCAATAGGGGCTTCCGACACTGGATGAGTTAAGTCTTATAACTTCACACACAAGTCATTACCTCACACCCCCCAAGTAATCTGTTTTAGAAGCAATGGGCTGAATGCTATCATAGCTCACTACTGCTAGCTTCCCATAACAGCTACAGGCTCCAAAACTCAGATTCTCCTTCCTTCACAAGGATGAGGTTATGATGTTCTATACAAACAGTGAAGTGTAGAAGGTGGTGAGACCTTAATTCAAGGGAAGAACCATGGGATAATCACCTAGACCACCTCCAAGTGACCTTGGAAGGAGAACTCTGCTTTGTTGAGTTCACCTCACCCCTATAATGAGACCAGTTCTCAGGGTGGTAGGAATTCATTAAGGTTGAGGCCACACGAAACTAGTTCAGAGATATGTCTGCTGGACCGTTTCCTATTGACTTTGGGCATAAGGCTTTATAAGCACCCTTAAGTTCATTTTTCTAGATGAAATGAACACAGCTTGAGTACAATACCCACTGCTTCTCTATTCCATCCCACAATCTGAGCATAACTCTAGCCATGAAAGGACAGAAGTTCTCACAAGGCAATTCTGTTTGCCCCAAGTAAAATACCTAAAGATGGGCTACGAATTAACCCTGAGAGCCTAAGCATATGATCCTTTCCTTTTCCATGAACTAAGAAATGGCTTAAGATTTCAAGGGCTAGTGTTTGCTTCGGCAGCACATATACTAAATTGGAATGATACAGGGGAGAATGATTTGCATGGCCCCTGCGTAAGGATGTCACGCAAATTCATGACGCGTTCCACATTAAAAAAAAAAAAAAGATTTCAAGGGCTGACCGAATACCGTTGCAACTGAGTTCCAAACTTTTCCTTAATGGCTCAACCTCTATATTCCTTCTTAAAGTCATAGCTGATCCAATGCAATGGAATCTCAAAGGGAAACAAGCCAGAGAAGCTCTAAAAGAATGATCTAAAAGCTCCCCTTGGGAACATCCTAATTATAAACGTCTTCTTTTTATACATGAAAATAAAGGAAATGCTTTAAGTGTTTTAACTCAAACATGGAGCTCATCATAGAACTATAGGATACCATAGCCAACAATTAGATTCAGTAGCAAAAGTGTTCCCTCCCTGCTTCGGCCATGGTATGCAAGGAGAATAGTTATGGGCTCTCCTTTAACTATTTGCGTTCATTTTGTGGAATCTTTACTGAACTTTTACTGTACGCTCAGCATTTCTCAGGCAGCCAGCTGGTTTCTTACCAAGTACTCTTACTCTCTTTGCCCAATATTGGGTGAGTCCAATGTAACAGCCTTAATGCAGAAACCCTGTTACCTTCTTTACAAGACGAAGGCACACAAGGTTGCGCTTTACTTGATACCTTCTTGCTCCTGTAATAATTATACAGGAAATTCCTATTAACAAGGACAACTTAATTTGGTTTGCAGATAGATCTTATCTCAAAAATGAGATGAGAGAGAGATTACTTAGCTGGGCATGCAATGACTTCATGGTCAGTTTAACAGAAAGTTCTTATTTACCTGAAATAATCTGTCTTGTTGGGCAGATTTTAATTTCTCTAATTCGAGCTTGTCAAGTGGCCAAAGATCAAATAGCCAACATTATACTGATAGTCCTATACCACTGGTGTAGCTTATGACTTTGGAATGTTACGGAAGCAACGAGGCTTCACTTCTTAACTTCCTCAGAGTGGTCTATAAAGAATGAAAAACAGGTTGCAGAATTAGATGCTGTACAACAACCAAGACAATTGGCAATTATCAAGATTCCAGGACA